GCGCATTTTAAGTCGTGGTTTGGATGCTCAAGATGAAGGTACACGAGCGGCAATAGCTGAGCAACTCCACCAGCATGCTACTTTGACTCGTAAAATGAACACATTGAAAGATAGTAGCAGTGGTAGTAGCAGTGATGAAAGTAGTGATGAAGAATACTCAGATGATCAAACAGAGGATAATAACCACAGCAAGGCATCAAAATTGCTGGAGAGAGCAAAAGACAAGACTTTAAAAGCATTAGAAGATGGGGATGAAGCTCCCAACTCAGGATTGCTTGCTTTGCCTTTCATGGTATAAATGCTCGTTATAGTCTGTGGCGTTGTGTACGTAAAACATTTTGGCTGTTTCCTGACCTGCCTTGTTCTCGTAGGTACGGGGGATGAAGAAAAGGGAAGAGGCAGCTGCTGAAGAAGCCAAGCTTGCCATCCAGGAGTTCGAATTGCTCTCAAAGCAGCTTAATAATTCTGAGACAGAGAATATAAAGACAGAAACTACTAGTGGTAGAAGAACCTTTGGTGGAATGAAAAAATCTGCTCCAGAACCAAGGAAGAAGACAAAGCCAGAATATTATGGTGATACAGACGATGAAGATGACACTGAGACTCGAGAAGGCGTGGAGGATGCTGGGGATGATAAAAATAGCAGTTTAATTGTTGATGAAAATATTGGTTCTGATATTCTCGGCGCAGACTCGAAAAGGCATCATAGTTCAGTTTTTAAAGTATGAAATGTTTCTTTAAATTCTTTAGTCTGTCTCTGGTGCATTTAAATTCTTCTTATTGCTGAATTAGCGTTCTTTTCCCTCTATCTTCTTGCCCAGAGCTTTGATGAAACTGTTAGAGATCCGGGTCCTAAGACGACGTATGAAGTTGCCATTTTTGCATCAGACACATGGAAAAAGGTTGAATGTTTTGTTCTTTCATTGTTTGTTTAATCATCTCCTCTTTGTAGAAACATTTTCTTTTGAGCAAAATGTTTATAAAACTAGTATGTGTTCTATATATGCAGGCAAAAAATATTGAAAAAAAAGTGGATTCTGCATCCACCGCCACTGCATCTAAACCAGCTTTACAAGGTCCAGTTCCAAAGGTATGACCGTTTTCATCTATCAATTTTGGTGGTGTTATGATTGTTGTATTTGTTTGATGGCATTATATTTCTCCTTGATCTGGTACAGGAAACCGTGCAAGATGTGGATGATCAAAGCGACTCGGACCACGAGCTCATGGTCGAAGGGGTTTTCTCCTCGGCTAATAATAAGGCATATGAACTTCCATCTCAAGCAGAGTTGATTCACCAAGCTTTTGCTGGAGACAACGTAGAGGAAGAATTTGAGAGGCAAAAAGAGGAAATTCTTAATGAAGAAAATCCTGAACCTGAAAAGCCTGTTCTACTACCTGGATGGGGCCAATGGACTAATGTCCAGAAGAAAAAAGGCTTACCTTCTTGGATGCTGGAAGAACATGACCGTGCAAACAAGAAGAGGCAGGAAGTTCTCAAGAACAGGAAGGATGCAAATCTCAAACATGTTATCATCTCTGAGAAATTGGATAAAAAGGTCAGTTGCTCAGCATTTGTGAAAGTTTCTATTAGATCTACTTCCCATGAACCTTTTGATATTGTCTGTTCTTGTGCATCATTCGTTTTGGCATTTCAATTTGACAGGCTGAGAAACTCTATACAAAGACACTGCCTTTTCCTTATACGGCGAAGGAGGTATTTGAGCAGAGCATCCGTATGCCTATCGGCCCCGACTTCAACCCGACATCTACAATTGGAGCTCTTAATCGTCCCGAGGTCAGCAACTCATTTTGCATTAAAATTACAGATAGACCCTTCTTTATATTCCTAATAAGAGCTCCTCCTCGACATTCCTTTACACAGGTTGTGAAGAAGTCTGGAGTCATTATAAAACCGATCGAGTTTAAGGAAGTTGATACGCAACGAAAAGTCGAGGAGCACAAACAGAGTGGACAGAAACAAAAGAGAAAAAGAAGTAAAACCAACAATGGAAAATCGGTCAAGAAGATGAAAGCTGGGGCCTAATATCCAATTGTTGTCTACTACACCTTGAAGGACAGCCATGGTTTTTAGAGAGCATTCATGGCTTTCCTTATGGCGAGGCTCGCTGCAGGCAAAGGTAAGAAGATCTAATTTGTAAAAGGTTTTGATAAATTTTGAAACGAGGCAATCTGATAATAGTGTTAGGCTTTTATTTATGTTCTATTTGTATGATTTTTTGTTCAATACAATTTTGATCTGTATAATTATTATCTTCTTTTTTGATATGAAACGTAGATTGAAAATTATTTGTTGATACGAAATAAAAAAGTTATGTTGCTAGTAATGTTGAAATAGGGAGGGGTATTGGATGAGATGAGATTGATGTTATAATTTCGTATTGAACTCGAGCCTTTTTGGAATGACTTTTTTCCGGTGCTTAATAAGGGCCTTTAGAATAGGTCTTTGAGCACTTGAAAAGTCATCACCCTTCGAGTAACTCTTCAAACTACTCTTCAAACTAAGACGGTTTGCTTCTCCTAAAGAATTAGGTTAAATTTATTATTTTGTAGCTAAAAAATAACTAACTTTTCGGTTGAAAGTGCATGTCAATGTATGTTAAGTTATGCTTACTTTGAAGTACATATCTTAAGCATTAAACCGGTATAAATTACTAATGCAATGTGATTTTTGTCCAGTGTGGAGAGCCGTGTTTGTCTAACATGGCATCAGAGTCATGCTCTAAACTTAGTCGTGCCAATAGATTGGTAAATCCTCAAATGTCGAACAAATGACTCTAAAAGAAAAGGAGTTGAGCCTCCTCGAAGGCAGTAAAAAATGACTAAGACTCACATCCTCTAATTTAGGAAATAATCACGAGTTTAGAGTTTAGGGTTTAGCGGCACGAGACTTGTCACGATATAGGAAACTTAACTGAAAATAGTAAAATTACAAATTTAGAAACATTTAATTTTTTATTTAATAAATTATTAAACTTAAATATTCAACATAATATTGAATTTTATTTCTATATAAATTTTAAACGATTAAATGTGTATACATAACTACGTCATTTGAAAGGTTTATTAAACGCAAAATTACAATTTGACCTAATATATCGATTAAAAAACCTAAATTTATTAAACTAGCCGATCAAATGGATATTTAAATATTTTTTTAGTCCATTTTACATAATAATTCATATAAACCTTCCAAATATTATGTATGTTTCTTAAAAATAAAATTAGATATCGAAACTAAATACATCATTAAATACTCTAATTTTGTTTCCATTATACAAAAAGAAAATTGACCCAAATTTATAAATTAGAAAAAAAAAACAGCAAAAAGAAAATTATAATCTAAAATTCTAAAAAACTAAAATAAAAAAATATTATAGTGTAAATATTGATGCGACAGCCAATCTTCAGCAACGGTAGGCGCCGCCGTACAGTTTAGACCAAATATTTAGATAAAAAAATAAATAAAAATATCTGCACTTTTCCGCTCTCTAATCCTCACTGACTCCACCAACCCACCCCCTCAAATCCTCTCATACGCAGCCCGCGGCGCAAATTTGTTGAGAGCGCCTCAAAATCTTATCTTCTTCCCCGTCTTTCAAGCTTCAATCATGGATCCCAACCCCCAAATCCTTGAAAATCCTGAACCCATCTCATCGGAGGACCAGTCTCCGCCCGTTCCAGTTCACTCGCCGCCGTTTGCCGTCGCTTCTCTCACTTTATCTCTCTCAACCGTCATTCCCTCAAATTTTCTTGTCCAACCCAGATTTTCTGGGTTGTTTTCTCGGCAGCCAAACAAGGATAATGTCCCCACTCAAGCTGCTTCTCTTTCTCACTTACCCATTTCCTGTTCTTCGCTCTGTCCCCCTAAAATCTCCCTCAAATCCACCGTTTCTGCTAACCCTCTTCAAATTCCTCTCTCTTTAGGCCCCCGCCGCCCTTCAGAACCCTCCAATGGCGCCGGGATGCGTCGAGCTACCATCGTTTGGTTCCGTAACGATCTACGGATTCACGATAATGAATGCCTAAATTCAGCTAATAATGATTCCATCTCCGTTTTGCCTGTTTACTGTTTCGATCCGAGAGATTACGGTAAGTCTTCGTCTGGATTCGATAAAACTGGACCGTACCGAGCCACATTTGTGATTGAATCCGTCTCGGATTTGCGGAAGAATCTCCAAGCTAGGGGTTCTAATCTCGTTGTTCGAATTGGAAAACCTGAAACTGTTCTTGCTGAATTGGCTAAGGAAATTGGTGCTGATGGAATTTATGCTCATTACGAGGTTTCTCACGATGAAATGGAGACTGAGGAGCGGATTGAGAGTGCGATGAAGGAAGAGAATGTTGAGGTTAAGTACTTTTGGGGAAGCACTTTGTATCATATCGATGATTTGCCGTTCAAAATGGAAGATATGCCGTCGAGCCATGGGGCGTTTAGAGAGAGAGTTCAAGGGCTGAGTGTGAGGAAGACGATTGAAGCTTTGGATAAGATGAAGGGTTTGCCTTCTCGTGGTGATGTAGAGCCTGGGGATATCCCTTCTTTGTCTGAATTGGGTCTCAACCAACCTGTGGCTATGTCTAAGGTTTGTTCTTATCCTTCATTTCTACTTGAATTTCGTTTTGTTTTTGCTTCTTTGACCGAATTGGAGGGTTGTTCTGCTGTTGTTCTGCTGTTGTGTTCAATTGGGCTATCATATTTCAAGAAAATGCTTTAAGCTTTCTACTACTTCTTGGACATGACATTGATACTCATCCTGTTGTTATCGTAGTAGCAAAGAGGACTAACAATGATAGTATGTGCTCAAGATTAACTCAAAATCTGCTAGTTGAACTAAGTGGAAATGGTGCTCTCTTGAAAATGTATTAGTTTTGGCATGCCCTTTGTTGATTTGGACTATGATTGTTTGGGTTTTTCGTGCTGCAAATACATGTTCTAGATTGTTGTTCTTGAAACCATTTTAAGTTTTCACGAGTTGAACTGATTTCTTGAAGTTTAGCGTTGTCTTTTGTGAGATCCCACGTTGGTTGGGGAGGAGAACGAAGCACTCTTTATAAGGGTGTGGAAACTCCTCTCCCTAGTAGACGTGTTTTAAAAACCTTGAGGGGAATCTCGAAAGGAAAAGCCCAAAGAGGACAATATTTGCTAGCGGTGGGCTTGGGCTGTTACTAATGGTATTAGAGCTAGACACTGGACAATGTACCAGTGAGGAGGCTGAGTCTCGAAGGAGGGTGGACATGAGGCGGTGTGCCAACCAAGGACGCTGGGCTCTGAAGGGGGATGGATTAGGGCGTCCTACATTGATTGGAGAAGGGAATGAGTGCCGGCGAGGACACTGGACCCGAAGGGGGTGGATTGTGAGATCCCACATCAGTTGGGGAAGAGAACGAAGTATTCTTTGTAAGGACGTAAAAACTTCTCCCTAGCGGATGTGTTTTAAAAACCTTGAGGGAAAGTCCAAAGAGGACCATATGAGTTCACAACTGAGAGAACAAATCATTTGATGACAACAGACCTTGCTCTGTGACATTTCACTCTTCACATATCTCTTCATATATTCTCTACTTTTCTTGAAATGTATCAACATTGTTAACTTCATCATATAGGAAGGATGGCTAGCTCCCAATACTTCTCAAGTGGGAGGGGAGACCGAAGCGCTTCATAGGCTTCAAAAATACGCAGCTGAATGTCGATCTCAACCACCGAAGGCGACGAACAACGGAGCTCAGAATAGCATATATGGTGCTACCTTTTCAAACAAAATTTCTCCGTGGCTAACCATGGGTTGCATTTCACCTCGATCAGTGTTCGATGAACTTAACAAAACCGTTTCCAGGTGCATATGAACGCCCATCGCCTTCATTGTTTTGTGGCAACATTGCCAAATCAAAGTAGTTCTCAAAAACAAACATTAATCACTGAGATCATTTTTTTATGTGTGGAACCTTTTCTGGTAACAGGAAGCATGATGGTGGCAATGGCACTGGAACAAACTGGCTGATGTTTGAGTTATTATGGAGGGACTTCTTCAGGTAATGCCAAGATCTATGTATCTCATTTTGCTCTGGCTTTTGTTCTGATACTCACTGGAAATTGTATTCTTAACTCGAGTTAGGAGTCTAAGTGAGAGTTCGAGTCGGTTTAAGAAAAACTATCCATGTCAAAATCAGCTTTTTTTAAAAGACAGACCAGAAAAAACCCGACCAAATCGAACCGACTAACCATCTTTACAATTTTTATGCTTAAGAAAATCAAACCAACTGAAAAGGATAGTTTAAACGGATCGAATTGACTCGATTTAGTCAGTTCTATGTAACAGCTCAAGTCCACCGCTAGTAGATATTGTCCTCTTTGGGCTTTCCTTTTCGTGCTTCCCCCTCAATGTTTGTAAAATGCGTCTGTTAGAGAAATGTTTCCACACCCTTATAAAGACTGTTTTGTTCTCCTTCCCAACCAATGTGAGATCTCGCAATCCACCCTCTTCGGTCCCCATCGTCCTTGCTGGCACACCGCCTCTTGTCCACCCTCCTTTGGGACTCAGCCTCCTCATTGGCACATCGGCCGGTGTCTGACTCTGATATATCATTTGTAACAGTCCAAGCTCACTGCTAATAGATATTGTCTTTCTTGGACAGCCCTTTCGGGCTTCCCCTCGAGGTTTTTAAAACGTGTCTACTAAGGAGATGTTTCCACACCCTTATAAAGAACATTTCGTTCTCTTCCTTAACCAATGTGGGATCTCACACCCTAACTAAAGTCACTTTCTGAAAGTTAACGAGTTTCACCTTGATCTTTGTACAATGTGGGATCTCACACCCTAACTAAAGTCTAAAAAGCATCCTCAATTCTTAGAACATTATATTTATACATTCAGTTCTTGTTCTATTGCAGATTCATTACCAAAAAATACAACTCAACAAAGAAACAGCCTAACCCATCTCCAGCCACCGCTTGCACGGGCGCCCTTGCTTAGGGAGAGTCGAAAAGCAGGGCATATCCTCATGTTGCAGTCATTTAGTGATCTTTTGAATTACCCTATGTTGCCTTTGTAAACGTTGTTTTTGGTACCGACTACACGTCTACCTCGACCCTCATCTCGTCTGGCTGAGTAGACCTCGCCTAGCTCTACCAATAAAAGGAATGTCTTAAATTTTGCCCCCTTCCTCGAAGAGTGAAAAAAAGAAAGAGCAAGAGAGGTCTTCATTTTCCTGCTACTTTGTTTTCTGTTCATGAACATAATTTCAGTTCTGCCTGTTACTTGGTATGAAAATGTAGATTGACTTCTGTTGTGGGATTCAACTTATTGACTTTCAGTGGTTAGGAGATGTGTTCATTTCAATTTATTTACACCATGGATATGTTGACCAAGCCAAGTGGGAATGGGAATAAAGCTGAACAGATTTGAATTGAATTACAATTCTAGGCTTATATTAGCGAAGGCCGAAGGCCGAGACTAAGACGGTTTTCTTCTAGTCATGTTTCTCCCATAACCACAGAGGCCATAGATCCAAGGACGAGAGGTGCTGAAGGTCAGAATGTCGTCTTAAGTGAGGGGTGCTTGAGGTACCTGTCTCACGGGCATTACTGTTCATAAACGCTAGGCAAGGGTACTTATGCTCTACATTCGAGTGATGCACTAACATGTAAGGCACAGACATTGTCCATAGGTGCAGGTAAGGGTCGAGCTTAGAAACAGATGCTCTATCCACTAAGCTACAGGCACCAATGGTTAGAAGATGCACCATCATATAAGGCACCGACACTATCCATGAGGCACCAATGGTTAGGAGATGTTGGCAGAGGCACTATCCATGGGTGCAAGAAGGGATCAAGCTTAGAAAGAGATGCTCTATCCACTAAGCTACGGGCACCCATGGTCAAGAGATGCACCAACATACAAATGCGTCCCATGAGCTACCAACACACAAAAGCATCCCATCTCTATCTAGTCTCATCTCTATCCACCGAGCTAGCGACACCAATGGTCAAGAGATGCTCTATCCACTAAGCTACGGGCACCAATGGTCAGGAGATGCACCAACATATAACACATAGGCACCATCCATGGGTGAAAGTAGGGGTCGAGCTTAGAAACAAATGCTCTATCCACTAAGTTACGGGCACCCATGATTAGGAGATGCACCAACATACAAATGCGTCCCATGAGCTACCAACATACAAAAGCGTCCCATCTCTATCCAGTCCCATCTCTATCCACCAAGCTAGCGTCAGAATATTTTTCAAGAATCATGACCTCAAACGCCACAAAAATAAACGAAATACTTCAAAAAGCCAAAAAATGAAAAGGGCGGAGATCACACCCAACCCCAACCCCGTGGACATCTCTAATTACGGTGAACGAAAAAACCCTGTCAACTTCCACTCACACCACATGTTAAAGGTTAGACATTGTTCCTTTGGACCCAAAACTCCTTAGGTCAGTACTCTCAGACAACTAATAAAAGTACGATCAAAACAACCAACCAAAAGAAGTGGGGTGAGCTTCGTGAACAAAATTTATAGATAAAACTTCAGCAGTAGTAAACAAGAGTTGCATAATCTCATAACTCAAAAGAATCCTTGCTGATCTATATGGAAAGCTTCAAGACAAGGTATGGAAATATAATTTCAACAAGCTTAATTCCTACTACAAACGATGCTTCCAAAATATAGGCCTTGAACCTCAATCCTCTTCCTCGCCCTCATTCTCAGCAATGTTGAAGTATCTTAATTCATAGACGTTGCGGTCCTTGTTCGAAGCGATTACCCGAAGCCAATCTCTAACATTGTGTTTCTTCAAATACTTCTTAGTCAAGTATTTAAGATACCTGTGATTCAAAAGAGAGAACAATTTTAGCAAAGTTTATTGGGAGTTTAAAGGTCTAATTCGTAGTTTCCAACAAAAACAATCATATTGCAACTAATGGATTACATTCTAAGTTATCCATAAAAAGGAGAATGGATATTTGAAGTAGCATCTCTTTAATGATTCCCTTTCTGGAACTAGATCAGAGATTTAGAGATGTATTCCAAAGAAAAGACCTAGTGTTAATCCACCCAACAACTCGGAAGAACTACACCTAAAGCTTGTAGATTTAAGAACTGACCTAGAAATCAAAATGCACTCGAAACAAAAATTCAGAATCAATGGCACGAAGAGGAAAAACTATTATGAGATAATGAATACTTTTTGAAGAACTTTCCTGTTTACACTTAATCGTGGCTGAAATCTCGAGATCTGTTCGAGCAATGAATTCCACTATTGCTCATCAACTCCACAATCCAATAAAATAGGCAACAAGAACACAAAATCACAGAAAACAAAGAACAACCCGCACGTCGCATCCATTCTCGGTAATAACGCGGCAACTAGCAGATAACTACAACGCTTACTCCCGAACAAACGGACAAATACATGAACATGACTCCTCCAAAACCGTGTTCATTATCACAAATCCAAAACCAAATCCAGAACGAACTATGACAAATAACTACAAATCAGTGAATACCTCTTGGAGAAGTTGCTATCGGAGTTAACGGTGATCTTGTTCTTGTCCCGAGTGACGGTAACCGAGTCACCAAGTGCCCCAGCTTTGCCGCCAACCTTGATCCTCTCGAGAAGAAACTTCTCCAAGGAGGCGATGTCCATGATCTTGTCCTCAACTGGCTTCGCACAATCGATGACAAAGGTCGAGCCCTTCTTCTTGCCCTTGGGGCCACCGGATGCTGCTGCTCCACGGCTCATTTTTGCTCCTTCTCTGCAACTCGCTGCCCAAATTTCCTGTAGAAATGTTACACAACAATCGGCGCTGATTTTAGGGTTTTGAGTTGCGGTTTTAAGGCTCGGAGGAGTAAGGTCTTTTTTTAGACAAAAATAACCTCTTTTAATTCAAAAATTACAAAAATAGCCTAATTAATTATGAATTGTAAAAATAACCCATTGTTGTCTCTCATTTACCCCAATACATGGATACTTTTATTTTATGATTTTTACCCCTATATTTAATGAATTTTGTATAATCATAAATTTAAATATGTTAATATCAAAATTATTTTTTAAAAAATCTCATGGTAAATTTATTCAGTCGGAAAAAGAAACGAAAGAAATTGAATTCACAAGCTTAAAGACGTTCTTGCGGGATCGATCATGAAATTGAGCTTCTACCGATAGTCGTACCCCTCGTGAAAAGTGAATATCGAATAACTCCATCAAAGTTGACTGAGCTAATGAAACAAGTGTATGAATTATAGGCTACAGGGTTTATCGGGTTTATCTGCTCTTGCAAAAACTCTTTTACGGAGCCCTAATACTGTACCTCAACAAGGTGATAGTACGGAACAAATATCATATCAATTTTTATAATCTATGAAATAAATAAATAAATAAATATTTTTAATTTTAGTTTCAATAATAAGATATTATTAAAAAAATTAAAATTAAAATTTAAAAAAAAAAAAAAAAAACCTAAACTCCACATATGACTCGCGAAGGAAATTGAGAAATGAAAGATGGAAGACGAACTGAACGGCGTCGTTCCATGTTCATCCCTCGCCGTCGAATCCACCATTCGCGTCGGAACGGTAAACTCTACAAACAACTTCTCAAACTACGATTCGTTTTCTATTCTTTCTGCTCTGAAATTCTGAATCCCTTTTCACTGTTCATCCTTCAGGCCGGCGCTTTGTGGGGTTTGTGTATGGGTCCGTACAATTCTCGTAAAAATGGTAATCTTAAGCTCAAATTTCGTAAAACGTATCCTATCTTTGATTCTTTTAATGTATTTTTCTTCTAGATTTGATTCGTGTTGTGTTTCGTACAGGCCTGAGTGGCGTCGACCATGCTGCTTTCGTGGTATCTATCGAATACTTGCTATTTTGCTTTGATTTCTTTATTTTTGATTGAGACTGTAGCATTGTGGCGTTTTTTCGATCTGAATCGTGTGTTTATTTTCTATTTTGCAGGCAAAGTCTGTTGGAAAATACGGATTTCAATGTGGTAATGGTTAATTTTTGAACCTTCTGGCATCTATAGATTGTTGAGCTGTGTTTGTGGCTGATTTTTTTGTTTAGTTTTGTTCTGAGCTGAAATGTAGCTAAAGATTCTGGGTTTTAGGACTCGTTGCTGGAGTTTTTACTCTGACTCACTGTGGGATTCAAAGATATAGAAGGAAGAATGATTGGGTTAGTCAAATTCATGAAATGATTCAATTTCACCCTTCTCCTTTGTTTGAATATGATCCGTTATAGAGGTTGCTTAGTTGAATCCCTAGTATGTTGACCTCACTTTATTCACTGTGCATTGGATGAGTAATTCAGTAACCGACCACTCTTTTTGAGCGAATAATACCTCGAGAAAATACGAGATTTCTGGTGATGGACGTAAACGGATGTGGTAGAATCATTATGCCCATCATTAGAAAGGCTCATTTCTATTGTTTGTGTTGTGTATCTCAGGATAGGACTTACATGTTACCAATTAATATGTATTCTAAGGTATGAGCCTCATTTTTCTAATTACTTTCGAAATATTCCCTTCAATTTAAACTAGATTGTTGAATGGAGATTGTCTGGCTTGGGCAGGGATAGTTCAAGAACTTTTGTTGGGGAAAAAAGGTGAGTGGCATTATAAAGGCATTCAGAAGTGTTCATGACACTTATTCTTTCAAGGGTTTGGATGGAGGGTCTCATTTTGAAAAATGTTTTTAACTATATAAACTAATTCTTTTGAACCATAGAGGAACAATTGTGTTGGATAGAAAGATTTAAAGGTCAATGAAACGCGTGTTTAAGAAGTTGATGCAAAAATCCCGCAATCGTATGTGATCTGCGTTCATAGAGTTCTGTTGCAAGTGTTGGCAGGAGAAAGAACTGAGCTTCTTACTTGGGATTGTTAGTGTTATCGATTGGTATATGAAACCTCATAATTGTATCGGGAATTTGACAACCATTTGTGTTGTGAGATCCCACATCGGTTGGGAAGGAGAACGAAACATTCTTTATAAGGGTGTGGAAACCTCTCCCTAGCAGACATGTTTTAAAAGTCTTGAGGGGAAGCCCAAAAAGAAATACCTAAATATGACAATATTTGCTAGTAATGGGCTTGGGCCGTTACACGTGTAGACTTGTAGTTGATTGAGAATGAACTGTTGCTTTATATATTGAGACTCGACATATCATACTGGAAGGGTTTCCCTTATCTTTAGCTATCAGGAGGGTTGGTCTCTTGCTAAATTTTATGTCTTGTTGTGGATATTTGTGTCCATAGACATGAAACTATTTGTTGGCCATAATCTTTTGGATTGAATTCTTTGTCGTAGGTTAGTTTCTGGTTGGTCGACCCTCGTGTAGGCCCGTCTTTTACTGGTCCCTGTTTTTGTTTGTCCCTCTTATATATTTCATTTTCTCTCAACAAAAGCTTGGTTTCTTGATAAAAAATGGAAATGGTTCTTAGCTGTTGCATATCTAATAACCTAGGCCTCTTGCTTAGCTTACAACCATTGGGATATGCAATGTTTCTCGTGAATGTATTGAATTCTTACTTTTATCTTGAATTCATTCATATTTCCTCGTAGTCTCTATGATTGCTTGAATGATCATGAAGCCAGAAATACCAGCTATTCATGGACTATGTTTACAGCAACTTTAGGAAATAATCTTTACCTCTCTTTTTTTCGTGTGACAGTTGAACGGTTTGATTGCGGGCGCCGTGGCAGGAGCAGCAATTGCTACAAGGACTAGAAGTTGGTCACAGGTTGGTGGGATGGCTGCCCTTGTTTCTGCCTTCAGTGCTGCAGCTGAATATTCAAGATCACTTTAGTATACCTCTTGTTGGCGTGAGGTATGTAGCATTCAATCCATTTTCACTACAACTGATGTGCTGCATTATATAATATTTGTAATGGTCCAAGCTCGGGCTTTCCCTTTCGAGCTTCCTTTTAAGGTTTTTAAAAGCGTCTGCTGGGGAGAGGTTTCCATACCCTTTAAAGAATGTTTCGTTCTACGTGGGATCTCACAATCCACCCCCTTCAAGGCCTCCCTTCTTTAATCAATGTGGGACCCCCCAATCCACCTTCCTTGGGGGCCAGCGTCCTTACTGGCACACCGCCTCATGTCCACCCTCCTTCGGAGCTCAACCTCCTTGCTAGCACATTGCCTAGTGTCTGGCTCTGATACCATTTGTAACAACCCAAGCCAACCGCTAGTAGATATTGTCCTCTTCGGGCTTTCCCTGTTAGGCTTCCCCTCAAAGTTTTTAAAACGCGTCTGCTAGAGAGAGGTTTTCACACCGCTATAAAGAATGTTTCGTTCTCCTCCCCAACTGATGTGGTATCTCATAATATTCGTTTCCTCCGAAGATGATGAAGTTTTTTAAAAGTACATATCTTCATGTCCAGGATGAATTCAGCAACGGTTCTTTCGTTATTTCAGCCAAAGTCGTTTGCTTGTGTCCACAAATATTGATCTGCTGAAGGAGGAGGGACATCAACCTCATTATGTTGTTTCAATCTTGACAATTGCGGCTAACTTCCGGTAAGATAAGCCAGAAATGATGAAATATTAGTTCCTGAATTCCTGAAATCCTGATGTATAATATACATACAATAAACGTTTCAGCCTTCACATGGCTTGCATTTTTAGTGACAACTATATCAGAAGATGAACATTATATATAAAAAGTAGCTGATAGTCGCTTTCTTTGTTTAGTTTGTTGCTACTGAAACTCCTATCATTCTATCTTGATCAACTGTGGGGAATTGGTTCTAGATATTTGAAGAAGCTTTGAGTTCTAATTCTCGATCGAATTTTCAGTGATTTCGTGAAAAGTTACTAGGAGCATCAAGAATCTGAATGGTTTTTTTTTTTTTTTTTTTTTGGTTAAGTTACAAGTTTGGTCCGAGTTCTAGAAATTTCAAGAAGCTCTGAGCTTTAATTCTGGATTATGATCAAGTTTTCATTGATTTCATGAAAAGTTACCCGAAGCAGCAAGAATTTGATTTTTTTTTTTTTTTTTTTGTTAAATAAAAACTGAATAGGTTCTTAAATTTTTCAATTTTAAGTTAATTAGATCTTCGAATTTTCAATATAACTTTTTAAAGTACTCTTTTAAATGCAAAGTTCCAATTTTATGTTTAATAAATTAGTTAACTTTTTAAAATATTTAAACTTAGAAAGTTGGAGTACTAAATTTTTTATTTTAACCAATTTTTTTTAATGTTAAAATAATAGGCGTGAAATTCAAACATCTAACCTTGTTGTTAAAAGAAGAATGCAAAAGGGTTCGATACTTGGCGAGGGAAAGGAGAAAAGAGAAAAGCAGTGGTTCGAGGGGGGTTTTATGTTTGTCCCACATCGGTAAGTTCCAGAATATGGAACGACGCGGTGGCTATAAAAGGGCCGGTGGAATTCGGTTCAAATCATACCTTTCTCGGCCTTTTGGCTAAGATCAAGTGTAGTATCTGTTCTTATCAGTTTAATATCTGATACGTGGGCCATCGGCCCACATGATATTAAATTAATTTTTCTAGGGTGAGAGTCCATCTTCAGTTGCTTGCTACTGGGGCTCTCGAGTGTCGTCCATGCGTTGCACTACTGCTTGGGCCTGGCACAACCCTCCAATATTAAGTCTAAATTATTGTCCCAGATGTGTGTTTCAACAATTTTAATTCTTGTGTCACGTTCATTTGTTTATAGTTTAGTCATTTATTTATAATTCAGTTCAATTGCCAGATCATCCCTTCGAAATCATGGCTTGTTGGTAGTTAGTGATGTATAGTTATGTTCCGCTTAAATTGAATATTCTCTCCACAACCCTATTTGGATTTTTTCGGCTTTGAGTTTTTCATCTTTTCTTGGTTTCCCCCGAGCTTAAAGATTTAAGATTTTTCCGTGATCGGGAGACTTTTTGTTCTCCCTTTTGGGTTTTTCCATCCTCCCTTTCACTTCTACTTTCACACTAAGGAGCGGTTTTCACGCACTCGACTTTTGACTGGTGCATTGTGGAGAGTCGTGTTCGTTCATCTAACATGGTATCAGAGTCATGTCCTAAACTTAGTTGTGCCAATAGATTGGTAAATCCTCAAATATCGAACAAAGAACTCCTTCTTAGTTGTGCCAATAGATTGGTAAATCCTCAAATATCGAACAAAGAACTCCTAAAGAAAAGGAGCTCCTCGAAGGCAGTAAAAAATGACTAAGACTCCAAAGGAGTCGAGCCTCGATTAAGGGGAGGCGCACTTTGTTCGAGGAGAAGTGTTGGATGATGGAAGTCCCACATCGGCTAATTTAGGGAATGATCATGGATTTATAAGTGAGGAATACTAACTCCATTGGTGTGAGACCTTTTGGGGAAGCCGAAAGCAAATCCATAAGAGCTTATGCTCAAAGCGTACAATATCATACCATTGTAGAGAGTTGTGTTCGTTCGTCTATGTCTGTTGCTCCCCTCTTTTGGTACATACGTCTTTTGCTCCCTCTTGGCTACCCATACAAGAATATAAAAACTACTAGGCATTCATGGTAAGACCTGAGTAACTAAAATCTATATATATTTTTTTTAATGATATTTGACCAAATTTCTCAAACGATTATTAAAAATTTACTATATAATTAGAAGATATGTATAAATTAATTAATCGCTCACTAATCTAAGTTCATTTGAACAATTAACTATAACCCAAACGAGTAAATATGCAAGTCTAAAATTATGAACTCAAATAAAATTAGAGACAAAATTTATAATTTGAGCTTAAAATTAAAAAATAAAAACATGAAGTGGAATACAATTTAAAACTTGAAAAACACCAAATTCTGTAGTGGCAAAATATATATACTATATATGATCTCCATTTCCATGGCGTTCTTCATAGATTGGGGCCAGTTTCAAAACCAGAGGCAGCCAATTTGTTAACCAAAGCGAGCGCATTACTGGTAATATAAGTAGCCTTCACCGCACGATTCCGTATCAAATTCACTAATCTTCCCCTTTCCCCTTCGAATCCATCCACGCAAGTATCTTCATCTGTCAGAGCAGCGCTAACCCACGTCGTCAGATCCCCCATTTGTGCGTCGAACTTGCTCCTACTCAATCTTCTAAGAACCCCAAGTGACCTGTGAAGCTCATCAATGGCGTCTTCAAAGACCTCCACACAGTCCGAAACTGCAGCCCTGTTTCTTCCCTTCATACGTCTGTTGTTCTTCAGCCTCACCAAGAACCTCGCCACGGCTTTGGCTTCAGTTATCGTCACCGACACGCTCGCCCTTGCCCACTTTGTAGGGCTTCGCTTGGCGGTGCTTGAAAATGGGGACAGCGAACGGATGCAGAGATCTGGGTGTAGTGTTACGCTGCACGCTTCTTGGACGTAGCTCGTTTGGGCTGAGTGTGTCAGCCATGGAAGAATTGAAATGAAGGCTAAAAGGGTGACGATTGAGGTTCTTGAAGTGGGTGCACGCAACATGTTCGACGAAATGTCTGAGAGAAGTGGAGGGCTGGAAAGAGCGAAAAAGGTACGTGGTAATGGAAGATTTAATTCATATGAACTCAGGATACTGTTTTGATTTGTGAATTTGATTGAAGTTAATGTGGAGATTAATGAGTTTATATAGTGAGAAAAAGGGTATTGGGGGTGGCTTGGAAAGTTCATTTGAAACAGCTTTTTGTGGGTGTTTGCTATGCATTAGGCGTGGGGATGGTGAATGCATTGAAGAGGTAGTGGTGAGCTGAAATAAGTTAGGAAGGTGAAAAACATGTGAATGGTAGTTGAGTTCTCGTGAACTTTGGAACAAAGGAAATCTAGGAAAATTTGGTATCTCTTTTGCCATAATTTACAATCCATCTTTGATTTGTTCATCATGAGATCTCTGTAACACAGTGGTCTTGGTTACTACTTGGCTATGGAAAAGAGAAAAAAATCCCCATCATGTTATGTATGGTACTTACCTTCATTAGCTATAGCAGGTGGTAGCAGTATAACATGTCTCATTGATTGAAGCTCTAGAGCTTAACCATGGAATACATACATTTGGTTCTAGCCCAACGTGAGTTCTCACGTTAGATGGAGAGGGGAACGAAACATTTCTTGCACAAGTGTGGAAACCTCTCCTTAGTAGACGTGTTTTAAAACCGTGAGGCTAACGGTCACACGTAACGGGCTAAAGTGGACAATATCTACCAATGGTAGGCTTGGGCTATTATAAATAGTATCAGAGGAAGGTTATCAAGCTGTCTGTCAGCGAGAACGATGGTCACCCAAGGGGGTAGATTGTGAGATTCTACATTGGTTGGAGAGGGGAATATAACATTTCTTGTAAGGGTGTAGAAAGCTCTCACTAGTAGACGAAACATTTCTTGCACGAGTGTGGAAACCTTTCCTTAGTAGACGTGTTTTAAAACTGTGAGGCTGACGGTGACACATAACAGGCTAAAGTGAACAATATCTGCCAGCGGTGGGCTTGAACTATTATAAATAGTATTAGAGGAAGGTTATCAAGCTATGTGTCAGCGAGAACGATGGTCACCCAATGGGGTAGATTGTGAGATCCTACGTTGGTTGGAGAGAGGAATATAACATTTTCTTGTAAGAGTGTGGAAACCTCTCACTAGTAGAATCGGGCTACAACGGTCACCCACCACGAGAAATGTCACAAGCAAATCGATTAACTATTTTAAATTGAAAAAATATTTTTGTAGTTAAGCTTAAAAGTTCTTTAAATTAAATTATAGTTTATAAATTTGAAAAATTAAATATCATTTGATTCCCACGTACATATTTTTATTAGATTATGTAAAAATTTCATTATAGTCACAACCTTAAAATTTTCTTTTAATTTGATTAAATCAAGCTTTTTAAATTTGTTATGTGTCACACCGTAACGATGAATAAATATTGAACACGAGGCTAATTTATTAAATAAAAAATGTGAACCAACCAATTAAATTAAATTTCAAGGGCGTAACTGCAAAATTTATCAAAATACGAGATAATTGGTTAAATTAGAAAATTCAAGAGTCCCATTGTGTAATATTTCTTTAAGAAGGGACCAAAGTATAATATTTATGAGTTATAAGGGCTAAAATATAATAATTAAAAATTTAGAGGTGTAAAATTGAATTAATTACAAAATTCAGGGGGGGGGGGAATGAATTTTATTTTAAATATTGCTACGCATTATGTAACTGGTAGTTAACATATCCAGGACATTACTGTGCAACGCGATACAGATTATTATAACCGTACCATATATTTACTCGTGGCTCCATCTTTTGATTTCAAAACCCTAACATTTTACAGTGCTCTCGCCCCTGCGCTTCGTCGTCCACAGATCGAATTCGAGGTAACCTTCTATCAAACGCTGAATCTTCGTTTTTAATTTCAATACAGAGCGCTCTTTCGAATTTGATCTTATTTGTTCGTTAAGGCGAGTTTAATCTTATTCGAGGCTTAGACTTTGTAGTTTCTGATTTGTTTTTCTTCGTTTTTTGTGAGGTATAAGCGTTAAGGTTAATCGTTTCTTCTTTTTAGGGAAAAATGAGCGGCCGTGCCAGCAGAACAGTGTATGTCGGCAATCTCCCGGGTGATATTCGTGAAAAGGAAGTGGAAGATTTATTTTACAAGGTAATTCTTCGTAATTTTGTATGTGCATGATGATTTGGCACCTACGTTGAGTTTTTTAGGTGCCAACAGTTTTCTCGTGCACGAATCTGTCACGTTGGTGCTGCATGGTATGTTTGTTGGATTCTCTTCCTTCAATGGACTGGATATTATAAAGCTTTAGTCACAAGGAGTGCGAGCGTAGAATGTTGAACCTTTTTCTTTCGATAATCAGAAGGAGAGGAGTATGAGGATCTTGCAAATGTAGATGAAATTCCCATTTTTGAACTATCGACGCATGTTCTGTGGCTTTTCTTTTTTGAAGGTTCAAGATGATCTGGGACAACGTTATAAAAGTGTTGGAGTTTTATTTGTTGAAAATATTTAATCTAAATCTGTTCTCATTCGACATTTTTATGGTAGTATGGTCGCATAGCTCACATTGATCTCAAGGTTCCACCAAGGCCTCCAGGTTATGCATTTGTTGAGGTGAGATTATTGCATATGATATGATATTTTCTCTTCCTATGAGATACTTGTTATTTGTGTTCTCAATATGGATTTAATGATTGTAGTTTGAAGATGCCGAAGATGCTCAAGATGCCATTCGTGGTCGTGATGGCTATGATTTTGATGGTCATAGGTTGCGTGTGAGTCACTAACCAAAGTCTATTTCAATTGTTATGAGAATTGGTCATTTTTGTACTTCATTGCTTTACAGTTGTAATTTATGCATTGTTTCTTTCTTTCTGTTTCTAGGTGGAGCTTGCTCATGGTGGACGTGGTCATTCATCTTCCAGTGATCGTCATAGTAGTTATGGAGGCAGCCGAGGTGGCCGTGGAGTATCTCGGCGCTCTGATTATCGTGGTATATACTCATTTCTTAGGCACCATACAATATTTTGACATTGTAAACATTGGATCTTGTAATATATATATTTTGTTTATGCAGTATTAGTCACAGGATTACCTTCTTCTGCTTCATGGCAAGACTTAAAGGTAAGCATCATTCTATTTGACATGAAGTGTATCTGCCTAGGCGTTCTAATTTTTCTGATTGACACTGAATATCATATTATTTAATGTTGAAGGATCACATGCGGCGAGCTGGTGATGTTTGTTTCTCCCAAGTGTTCCGTGATGGTAGTGGTAAGATACCTCTGATGAAGTTGCTTCAAACTCACTATCATGTGTTTTTGAGAACCAAATAACTATTTCTTTCAATGTGTTGCAGGAACCACAGGGATTGTGGATTACACCAACCTTGATGACATGAAGTATGCAGTAAGTAGTTTTTATCTTTGTACTAATATGTTTGAAATATTGAACCTTAATGTTCATCTGCCATCTTGGATTGCTTCTAATGACTTTAAGAGTCCAATCTTTGGTTTGGTTATGTGCTATAATATCTGTTTCCTTGTCACTGCAGATTAAAAAACTTGATGACTCTGAGTTTCGCAATGCATTTTCTCGTGCATATGTTCGTGTATGAATTATACCCTCTCCTAGTAATTAATTTTTCATGATTTGTCATATTCTTTCTTACCTGTTTTCATTTTTTTTTTTTTGGAAGGTGAGAGAATATGATTCGAAGAAGGATCGCTCCAGGAGTCCTAGTCGTGGGCGGTCATATTCTAGAGAGAGGACTTGTAGTCGCAGTCGCAGTCGCAGTAGAGGCCGAAGTAGGAGCAAGAGCCGTAGTAGGAGCAAGAGCTGCAGTAGGAGGTTGGTTGGTTTGTTATCAGTAAATTAGTTTTAGCTCATTGCTGCCTTCGATTTAATGTTTTATTAACTTTTGAGCAGCAAGTCCCCAAAAGCTAAATCTTCCCAGCGGTCACCTGTTAAATCTCGATCAAGGTCTGTTTCCCCTGCTCGCTCTCGGTCAAAGTCACCATCTCTTTCTGGGTATGTATTCTCATTTTGTAAACTACTAGCTTTCATTATTGTCATTCTTAATTTTATTTTATTCAATTCTATTTCATTTTCTTTTTAAATAAGATCTAACTGCAGTCTGTTCATTGTTTGTCTATATTTATATGATTTGAGTTGTCACACGGGCAGGGTCTGTTTGTTGCACCTGTCTTTCCTTAGGCAGAATGTTAGACTGGGTGAAATAAACAACGTAAAAGTATTGAAAGTGAACTAATTCTTTTGTATTGCTCAAGAACGGGTCAGCAAGTGGTTGAAAATTTAGCAACAGATTTGAAATTACCTTACCGGATGCTATGTGTTTGCATGTGGTATTGTGGTTTGTACAATTCGCTTGGATGAGAAAACCACCCTTTTCTTCCATAGTCTTGGATCATTCTGAGAACAGTGGAGATGAATACTTAACAGACTTCAAATTAGTCTGGGCAATGTGTGGGACCCCCTCTATTGGAATGTTGGGTAAACCTTTCCTTATTGACTCAATTTAGTTATTACTATTATACATCGGATTTTACGTTCATTTTAATTACTTGGAATTATTTTGTTCAACAACTGGGGTAGCCAAGAAATGAATAGATTTCTTTCATTCATTGTCCTTTTTTGTGTGTGAAAATTACTTGTTTGTTTTTTTAGATATGGAAATATGCGGCATACTGGGGATTGGATATTAGTATCCTGATGGGATTTGATTCGTTTGCCTTCAATGCTTTTGGTTGAGAAGGTATGCTGTTTTTTAGATGGGCAGCTTTGAAAACCATCTGGTACCCCCTGTTCTAATGCTTTTTAGCAATGCAATGTCCATGGGTGCTAGATTTGGATCAAAGGAGATCATGGATTGCAATAATAGAGCTGGATATCTTGGACTAAGTGCTATTTGGACTTGGAACTCATCATCACTTTCATTTACATTTTCTGCTGCAAGATTTGCAAAGCTCTAGGACGCACTATCTGGATTCATTGTGGACTTTTTGTGGCACAGTAGGGAAGAATGCTCCTCTCCCGTCCACTGATGTCTATAATATATAGGTTCCTATAGATTAAAGTTTTCTAATTTTAGGTCTTCACTTTGGAGTCTTTTAAGTTTTTGAATTGGCGTATAATCTTCATAGTTGAACTGCTAAAATACTATTTTTCTATCTCACGTATATAATGTGGATGAGGCGTCAGGCTCTTGGATCGCATTTGGTAAAAGAGGCGTGGATTTTAAATTTTAGTTATTTCTGGACATTTTGCAGATCCCGATCAAGATCCAGATCTCCATTGCCCAATGTAAGTGATACCTGTTACAATCTATTATTTTATATCGTGTTATATATTGTGTATTTTTGCTCTGGCCATACAAGTTTTTAGTAAACTTGTGTCCGCATATGATTATGGCTTATATGGCAGCGTGAGAAACGTACTAGTAAAAGTCCCAACCGGCGTGATGCTAGCAAAAGCCCTAGCAGAAGCAGAAGCAGGAGCAAGAGCAAGAGCCCGTCCCGGTAGAGCTTTTGGTAATTTTGTTTTCCGCCATGGATTGTGCACACATTGTATAATTGTATGTCCTTGAAACATTTTGTGATTCAAATCCTTGTTCTGACTGTTCGAAACAGATGAAGATGGAGCTGAAATCCAGTATGATAGAAACTATGTCTTGTTTGGACTCTCTTGTGATAGGCTCGAGGGAGTTCGTATCCGAGTATTAGTCGGTGAACCTATCAGAATAGACTTTATGGTAGTAACTATGTTTTGTTTGGTGATTATAATGTTCCCAAAATTTACATTCTTAGTTTCAGGATAGTATCTAAAAATTTGTTACTACTTGGATTGTATTTTGGTTGTCGTCAAGTATTTCCTGAGGTTCGAGATATTATTTGGTGTAACTTTTTAAATTGAATTTTGGTGTTAACAAAAAAAAAAATGTTAAATTACCATTAAACAACCAAATTGATTTCATCCAACTCGGGCACTACTACATCTTTCTTCATGAAGCTTGTGTATCTCTCGCCCACATTAGCTCCGGCTTGAGCAAATAACTCCACCACTGCAGGCAACACGCCGTAGTACCTCTTCAGATTATTCAATAGAGGCTCAGAGCTGTGCACATCTTGAACATGCCACACATACACCGGTGGCATCAAATCATCTACTGTTGCTTCCTGCCACGCATGTTGCCCGTCCCTCATCTGGTGCTTGTAAGCTTGACAGTTCCTAACCCGGTGGCCTTTGGGTCCAACTTGCACCTCTGAACAATAGCCGCATGTTTGTACACCATACGTTTTCATGAGCTTTTCTGTTCCTGATATCATTTTATCCCATAATTCCATGCCTTTGATGGCTGTCTCTGAAATGACATGGATACCAAATTACAGTTCAGTGCAAAATGTTGGGAAAAAAAAAATCAGAGATATGTGTTATACTTAAATAGAACTAGTAAGACCTTTGAAATACAAAAGTTTGATATTCTGTGAGATCCTACATCGGTTTGAAGGGAACGAACCATTCTTTAGAAGGGTGTGGTAACCTCTCACTAGCAAACGCGTTTTAAAAACCTTGAAGGGATGCCCAAAAGGGAAAGCCCTAAGAAGACAATATCTGCTAGCTGGGGGCTTGGGCTGTTATAAATTGTATCAGAGCCAGACATCGAACAGTGTGGCAGCAAGGATGCAGAGCTCCAAAAGGTGGACACCGAGTGATGTGCCAACGAGGACGATGAGCCACTAAGGGAGGTGGACACTGGGCAGTGTGCTAACGAGGACGCTTGGCCTCGAAGGGAGATGGATTATGAGATCCCACATCAGTTGGAGAGGGGAACAAAACATTCTTTTTAAGGGTGTGGAAACCTATTCCTAGCAGACGCGTTTTGAAACCCTTGAGGGGAATCCCAAAAGAGGAAGCCTAAAGAAGATAATATATGCCAGCGGTGGGCCGCTTGGACAGTTACATATTCAAACCTCCCCTTCTTGAGTATGCTCACTCGAGCTTAAAGCTCCTAAGCAATTCTCAACCACTGAACAACTTTCCTATTTCATTACTAGTATCCACTTAATACCCTAATTCTATAACCTAATTGCATTCCTATCAAAATGAAATCCCAAATTTATTGTGCTATGAAAAGTTGGGATGCCATATAGCATGGTAAGGTCCAATACAAGTAAAATTCACTAGATTGAATAGTGGAAACTAGAAGTGCAAACAATACTGACCTTTTAAATCATCGGAATTTATCGATAACGTGTCCGCACACACTCTTTTCTTGTCATTCCAAAATCCATACGAATTAATGCCTTTTTCAAGGGTGAATTTCTTGGGAAACCTCTTCTCAAAGTCGACAGTCCTTCCAGCAACATTGTAAATCGGAAACGTCCTTCGCCTTGTAGGGTACTCGGGGATATCAACACCAGCTTGAATGCACAATTCTACTACTGCTGGAATTCGATCCACCTGGAGCTGCTCATTATGTGAAACAGCTCTGCCAATACGGTCATATAAATGGAAAGATTCCACAGTAGGAAAGACATGCTGAATGCCTCCAATTTCCCAAGTGTGCTCTTTGTTTGGTGCGCTCCCAGCAACATTACATGTTCTAATCTTATGTGGCGGATGACCAATATGAACCTCTCCACAGACTCTACACAAATGAGAAAACAAGATCAATAAGAAATTAAGATCCTTGTCGTGCAGCTGAAATATAGTTTTTAGGGGATAAATAACAATCAATTTATGACTCTTATGTGAACACCCCCTCGTGTCCACCCCTTACGGAGCTCAACCTCCTCGTTGGCACATCCCCCGATGTCTGGCTCTGATACCATTTTTAACGGTTCAAGCCCACTGTTAGCAGATATTGTCCTCTTTGGGCTTTCCCTTTTGGGCAGATCTTTAAAACGCGTCTATCTTTGGGAGAGGTTTCCACACCCTTATCAGAATGTTTGATGTGGAATCTCACAATTTGTATCTTACCTGCAAGAATGCACGATGCTTCTCTTAATCACCGTGGAAATGCATGAAAATAGTTCAGATCTTGCAGCATAAACTTCATGAGCAATTGGAACCAAGCCCTTGACCGGCAAGCCATTGGCCGGGGGCTGCAAAGAGTTTTCCTCTACATTCTGCTTCGCTTTCGCTCTCAATCTTGCTGTACGCTTCAGCTCGTTTATACTCGTTACCAGTGGCTTCCTCTCTGACTTCTTTAGCTTCTGAAATAACACTGCAGAACTAGACCTTGTTGAATACCATAGAAATGGATGCTTGCTTGAATTCGTCAAGTTTGCAGCAAATTTCTGTATTCTTCTACGAAACATTGGAAGTGTACGTATTGATCTACATGAACTACACAAACCAACAAAGATCAATTAAAAACATTTAAAACAGAGAAGTTTTCATGCTCATCAATCTTGCAGGCTAGTACAATTCAGACAAGTACTAATTCCATAAGTTGAGAAAAGAAAATGCACTCAAGTCAAGACATTAGAGGTATCTAACCAGATTATAAGAACAAAAAGAAAATCCTAGCTCTTCAAATACAGAGTACAAAACCATGTGTACACTGCGAGTGTGAACAATTCAAAACTAGCTTCCAAGGTTTTAAAACAACTGAAAAACGCTAACACGACGCTAATGTTCTGTAATTTCTAACTGTGATATAGCATTAGTCCCAACCAAAGCAGGAAAAAGCGAGGCGAATTAGAATTAGCATTGTTCTCAGCTACTGTTTGTACTACAAGATTACAATTAGCATTTGATTTGTCCATAAAGCATCAAACATAGCAAATTAGTTATTGTTCAGAACATTGATCCGGTTGAGTAAATTTGACAGTAACTAAAGATGAAAGCAGAGAGAGAGAGAGAGAGGCCTTACTCCTGCGACGATCGAAACCTTCAGATGGAGGTGACTGAAGCCGACATCTGACGGCGAAGAGAGGAAGCGGAGGACGGCAGACGGCTGAGGGGCTGCTTTCATCGGAGGTCGTCTGGATAATTCGGTCGTGGCCGTGCTCCTGAAATAAGGACTACCTCTCTTAATTTAGGGTTCGGATGGGCGATAAGAAATGCCTAATACGATATTTTAAAAGTAACTTTTTCTTTTTTCTGCATATTTATTATGTTATTTTATACGATATTTTCCATAATGTAGCAAATAATTAATTACATATCTATATTTCAACTATTAAATATATATATATATTAATTGGGGTTTCTTTGTATTCTGCCTTGTGATATTGTCCACTTTGAGTATAAGTTATTACGACCTGAGATACACTATTGTCCTTAAAGAGACTCGACTACTTTTTTTTTTTTTTTTTTTTTTTT